CCTGCCTGCCTGCCTGCCTGCCTGCCTGCCTGCCTGCCTTCCTTCCTTCCTTCCTTCCTTCCTTCCTTCCTTCCTTCCTTCCTTCCTTCCTTCCTTCCTTCCTTCCTTCCTTCCTTCCTTCCTTCGCCTTCACGGTACGAAGTTGCTAGTATGCTACGTGGCCGTCCAGGTCGGCTTCGCGAAGCTCGCTCTCTCTCGCAGCGCCAGTGCCGACACATGCAGAAGCCATGCTGCCAGGAAACTCGGAATCTGTAGTAGAAAGGGCCGAAAGAAGCTTTCTCTTTGTGGAACTCCTGGTGCCCGTGCAATCCACATAATTGATCCGCTATGTGGTCCAAAGTGCTACTACATGCTATATACTGAACTACGATTCACAAGGCGACGGGCTGAGAAGAATGAATTCAGAGTTTGGAGCATTGGGCTCATTCCTCACCAATCTCCCAGCCTTGATCTCCGGACTGTCGTAGTTCCTCGGTTTGAACGCGAATGCAAGGCTCGCACAACCAAGAAGTCGGCAGCCATGAATGGATCCCGGCACTGGCCGCCCATCCAGGTGGAGCAACCCGTGAGACATACCACTCAAAGTCTCACTTTATGGAAGCCTGCAGCCAAGCATCCCGAACTCTTGCTCGCGAATGCGGACCTGAAAATTTCCAGGACACGCATGCCGCATGACCCCAGGGGTGGCAAACTCCCTTCCATTGGCTAGACCAGCTAGGGCACATCCTCCTGGCATGGCCACTTCTCCAGCCCCCCCGCCCGGAGGATTCCGTTCAGCGTCTCACCTGGCCGTTTTGCATCAATGCTGCACGCTCGAAACCTTGAGACCTCCTTACGAGGTCCTGCGCAAAAACACTGCTGCTGATAGCTCCTGCATGATGGCACATGCACGGCATATGCACGGCGAGGGGCAAAAGGCGAAAGAAACAACAGCTGTTGGGTTAGACGCTTAGACTTCTTGTGTTAGGCTCAATCTCACAAGTCAATATCATACCCAGTTAGACACAGTTTGAGTGCACAGTGTCCCAGGCGCGAAGAGGCAGACATTCCTCAGTTAATCTATCCAGTCAAGTCGCGAGCTCGCGTGTACGGCGAGTAGGTGAACCTACCCACATTTCTGAGACACATGTACGCTCACATCACAGCATAGACACCGCGCGACGAAGGGACAAAGTCTACACCGTGGACATGCAATGCACCAGCCTCACTGAGCCCTCGCCTCAAGATGAGCGAAGGGCACAAATAAAGGACCTACGCGCAACACTACCGCGGAGCTTTTGAAGCCTCAAGCCCTAAGGATCCCTCACCTGTTCTATCGACATGTGACACTTGAAAGAGGAACGAGCTACACCCCAAGCTGAGCCAAGTTCATGCTGACAAGACTATCGTAAACGTCGTAAACTCCCTCTCACAAACAGCTAGAGGCAAGCTCTGCTCTGCTTCAGACCCGTCCGTCTGAAGTGGCACATTCTACTGATAACCACCTGTGAATTTGAATTAATGCTGCTTTGGTCGCCCACGAGGCTCGCCAATCTCTGCCCTGCTTCGGCGGCTTGCTGCCGACCCCTCGCACGGAGGGAGTGTTACCGCCTCTGGCTGCCCTTGATGCACCCTCTGACCGTGTCCAACGGCCTCTCAGTCAAGTGCAGATCATGGTCAGGGACCGTCGCCTGAGTCTGCGTTGAATGACTCTCTCCTCACCCTCAGCCGCACCCCACTTCACCGACCTGATTGCTGTTAAGGCTCTGTGATCTTGCGGTTCACCTTGGCGGCAGGAGTCACAAACAAGTCCCCACAGCCAAAGTCTCTATGTTTGTGCGCCCGCTTTCTTGAGTGAAGCTTTTGCGAGCCGAGCATGCAAACCATGTGGTGGCATGTTCTGCGCCAAGTAGCGTTTGCTTCCGACCTCGGCAAAGTATGCGTCCGGCCCTCACCCTTGCTACTAGTCTGGTCGTTACTTGCTGGCTCAAGAGACCTGCGCGGTCTCTTCACTGCGACACTCTGGGGAGCAGACTCACCATGCCTCCCAAGCGGTGGATGCACATGGAAAAGCAAAAAGTGCTCTGGGCGAAAAGGGCCCGGGTCTGTTCTGCCGCTGCTGACTTTCATTTACTGTTCCATTCGGCAAGCTTCCGATCGGACTGTGGCTTTCATGTGCAAGAACTTAGTATGCCATGGCCAGGTTTGGACACTGGAAGTTAGCAGGTTGGCCCTGACAGGCGGTGGCCAAGCCAATGCGCCATCCGCAAACGAAGACTCGGACAGTGTTACAGCCAACTCCAGCAGTCCAGCACGGATGGGACTCTGGCAACTCCACTGGTCCAGTGAGACGAAGCGTACTTCTGAGACACAGATGCGAACTGGTAATCACGTAATCACGGGGCATTGCGCGGAGGTTGCAAAATTCATGAAAACTCGAAACGTCTCCAACACCATCTCCACTGCTTTGCTTCTAGTTACTAGTTCCAGCAGGGTCAAGGGGAGAGACAAGGGTGGAGAACGAGATAGCTGTCGATATCGGGCGCACGTGGGTGCCCTCACAGCTGAGCAGCTACAGTATCCATGACCTTATCATGGCCAGCTGCGACTGGATGCCCGAACCGACGAGCCTGAATTTGGCATTGTACCGAAACGCGGCCCTACGAGCAACAGACAAACTAACGCGCCTGATGAAGATCAAGCGACGAGGGAAGTTCCGGCCGCACATGCCAAAGGGCCTGGGGCTGGCGAGCCCACACGTCGCTTGCGGTTTTTGTGACAACTCACACTCGGACAATCCTGGCAAGGTCTGCAGCGATCTGCAGCGCTTGCGGTTTAGGGCTTCGGGAGTTTGCTCGGAGACATGTGTCACGAAGAATGTTCACATCTTCCCGGCCAACTCACGTGGGCAAATCAGAACACAGGTCTGCTCGACTACTGATTCCAACTTGCCCCGCAGAGCCGTCATTGCATCTACTAGTACAAATAGGAGGGTGTTTTTTAAGGTTTGCGATAAGCCTTTCGCGTAGGATTGCAGCGATTGTGGGCTGCAGGGGCCGCAGCTACAGAGAACTACAGGGATTGCTGTCCAGCAAACAGCAGTACACGAGCCTCCCTCTGCAAACGAAGGGTTTAGAACTGTAGAGAGCCGCCTAGGACACGGACAAAGATCTGCACTAAATATGCTAACCAAACACGAAAGCAGAGTCTCCTCCCAGAATCTAGCATTGGTCCAAAGGTGTTACTGACCAACACGTCCGAGTGCATCACACCCGATCCTAGTCACTTCCGTCTTCCCCTGGCCTTGGCGGTTCGGATAGACGAGGCTTGGCGATACGCTCGTCTTCATTCGCCGACTGCCAGCAAAGCTTAGAAATGATTAGCAGGGATTTGAGGACTTCAGGGCGGTCAAAACATGAGCACGCAAACTCTGAACCGTTCCAGCCAAGAGTAAGTGAGCAGAAAACGAGACAAGTATTGATAACCTTATCCATTGTGCTTCAAAGCTAGTTCAACGCGGCACAGAAATGCAGGGTCACATCCACCCGGTCCTCACAGCAGCGCTTTCGATCTGTTGAACGACATGGGGCATCCGTCGCCACGGCTGCCTGAACAAGTCAGCCACTTCCTTTGTTTTCCTACTAGAGCATACCACAGCGTGGTGACCGCGCCGAGCCAAAGCAAGAGTCCGAATGTATGCACTGGCCTGAACAAACATGCGTGGGCTGCGGTAAAGTGGAACTCCTGGCATCCGGGCCCAGGCCGCCTGTTGGGCCACGTCTTCTTTGACCCACTGGCGGGCCCTTGACTGCAGCTTGCGAACCTGAACCAGGTTCAGACCGACCTTGCCGGACAGGGCTGGGTCACTGCTGATCACAAGTGTCAACTTCGGAATTAAAGCTGCTCACAAGGCTGACCCTGAGGATGTGCGCATGGTCGGCATGCAAGTTGCGCTGCCTGTCGAAGATCTTCGTCAAGAAGGAATGTCACGTCCTTCAGCCGATTCGCACCGTGATGCGAGGATGCAACGTGATGGCCTTCAGTCTCCATATAATATGTCTCCGGTCCCTGAGCGCAAAAACAGCGGCGTCCTCTGGGCTCGAGAGGCCGAGGTCTCCGAGCGCGGCTCGAAAGCAGCTGAGATCCAAGGATTCCTTAGAGCCCCCCCCAGGCCCCCCCGCCAGGGGCCCGAAGCTTCGTCGATGCAGTTTGCGCATGCATCGGATCATCTTGCAGCTGTGCATCTAAGATCTTCTTTAATGATGCATCCATCGTCAGAGGCAAGTTGAGAACTCCAAGCCGGAAGCGGGTCTCCGCACCTTCTGGAAGTAAGTCTCAGCTGTCCATCCTCCTATGGCCTGTTGAGCCGCAAGAGTATGGCTGCGGTATGCGTATATGCTTCTTTATGTCCAGTGAGTTTAGTGTCCCTGAACACCGCGGTGCATCCTAGGTGACAGCGACGCATGTTGCCACTGAGATGAAGCCCTGAAGCATTCGCCCCGACTCTCAGTTATGGCATACTGCATACTGACCCATGCGCCTCTCTAAGAGGCCGCCGGCCGAAGGGCCTCCTGGCACAGGAAATGCGCTGAAAGCTCACGGATTGCCCAAAGGGTCAGAGGGGCATCTTATCACGTTTGCGCTCAACGATGGCGCCTGTCAACCACCTCCACGTCCCGCGGAGGCGGCGGAATCGGTGGAAGTGGTGGTGGAGGTGGCTGACGAGTTGGCTGGTGCACTGGATGCTGATACGGCGGCTCTGGAGGAGCATTCTTCGAGGCCTGAGAAGCAGGCTGATCTCTCTGCACCACAGTGAAACAACAAGCGAATCCAAAAGGCCGCGCTATGCCGTACTGCACATGTGAGGGGTCTGTGTACTGTGCTGGTTACCGATAGTTACCCGGTGTTATCACATCACAACTCGCCATTCTCTTCATGCTTGCTCTCCGCAGCTCCATCCAAGCAACAACGACCTGAAACTCTTCCCCACTCTGACCTTGAAAAATACATGAAATTTCATTGCTCTCGGGATCTTTGAGTCAAGGGCCGTGGTGCCAGAGACGCGCGCATCCTGCTGACTGACACAACACATTGGCTGCTTGAAAGCACATGCCTTTCACGACATGTACCTGGCGACATGTGTCGACATTGAACTTTCCCAGGATGATTCGGGGGGAAATGCAGCATTATGCAGCGACAAACGACTGTCTCAGCAAGGCCGACACGCATCAACTTCCGCCATGGCAGGTCGGTGGCCCGGCGGTCCTCTCCCAAGCCAGGGGCTGGCGACAGCGGAAGCCTCCGGCAGATCCATGGGCTGCCCTAGGGTTTTTTCCCACCCGCCTAGGGTTTAGGGTTAGGGGTTTAGGGGTTTAGTTTAGGGTTTAGGGTTTAGGGTGCCCTTCTTTGGGTCATGTACACTGAGGGCCAGGCGACGGCCGCGCCGGAGGCGACAGCTGCGGATAAAGCGCTGGCACCACGGGGGGCGCTGCTGTCGGAGCTTTCACCTCTGGCGCCCGCTCTTTGTGTGGGCTCCTCGGATTTAGCTCCACTCAAAGCGTTGTGCGTATGCCGACAAGGAGAAGCATGCAGAAGCAACCAGCTTGGACTTTACGTTCGGTCCTGCAGGCGTCACCTGAGACGAAGCGGTAAAATACAAAACAAAAACCAGGTCAGGGACTTCGTGTACCGATAATGCTGCAGCGACAGCTCTCTGAGCACGCCGAGCCGCTCGAAAGTTCGGCTCCAGGAGCCTTGGCTGCAGTTGTTGACTGCACCTCGCAAGCGAAACGACGCGTACTGACCCGGTTTCATCAAGCCAGCCCGACATTGCGCTCAAAAGCTCAATTCATCATAGGAACCTTTAGGGGGGTAGGGGGACGGGGCTAGCGGACTATACTTCCTTAAAAAGGCCTGATTAGGTCCTTATTGCTGGTAGTAAGACCCCTAACCCCCCTCTGCCCTACCCCTAAAGGTCCCTATGAATTCAAGTCAGGGCATCTGGTCGTGTATGCAGGAATCGGGCAGCTGTGAGGACATGTTGTTTAAGCCCCTGGCCACTTTGTTGACAAGCCCCCTGCACGCAGCGATGCTCAAGAAGGGCCCGGGCAACACACGTCTGTGGATCAACACCGTGCATTACAAACTCAAGCATTCAAACTGTTTCGTGCATGTTCACTGCGTTCACTCTCGGCTTCCAGCGCCGGCGGAGGAGCCTTTGGCGGCTGAGGCCCCCTTTGCAGGCACTGACTCGGCATCCCAACAGCCTAGCTTCCCAACTAAAACCTTTCCGGCAAGCATGCAACATGCAGATTCTTCCACGCTTCATACAAAGCCACGCCCGGTGCATCCTAAGGAGGAGGATGCGTATTGAGTTCCTTGCCGAACCGGTTGAACCGGCGAAGTGGGCATGCGCGGTGGTACGGCCCTTGGCTGGCGGCGTTTGAGTGTGGTGGGTGATGTACGTCTAACAGGAGGAGAAGTGTAAGTCATATATATATATATATACACATATGATATATGCATACACGCTCTTAATTCATTGGGAAGGCATTGGTCATGCAATGGTGATTGTTCTGAACTCAAGGTTGAAGGGCTGCATGACTCAAAACCCAGGGATCAACCCCAAATTCAGCAAGTTTACGACTTTTTTTTGGCAGCACAATCACTCTGAGCTCACATTCAGGGGCTGGGTTTCTCAAACCAAGGCCTCCAAGCCGTGAATATCGCAAATTGTTAAGGAACTACGTCTTGAATTGAAGAATCAATACAAACCAGTGGTGCCCTGAATCTTCTGGATGGTCTCTTCAAAAGCCGAGAGGGCATCGTGTCGGAGTCTATGCGTCTTCAGCTTTAACGTCTAAGACGCGTTTGGCTGGTTAGCTTGCACCAATGTTTGCGCAGCACCTGCCTTTGCAGACCTATCTGACAGGCAACTGTATAAGCCTCCGGCATTCCCGCAGCGCGAGGTACCACGGCGGCCGGAGATGGCGCAGTGGTTGCTGATGTAGATGCCGGGGTGGTGGCGGAGGACCTAAGAAGTAGCGCATCTCTTCAAGGCTGCAGGGCAGGTGGGAGCATTTTGCGAATCGAGCTTTTGAGTGGTTCCCTGAGCTGCCAGCGAAGCGCTGGGACCTGTGCCACTAATTGGCCTCGGGTCACCCGCGACATGCTTGGAAGGGCGAGTGAAGAGCCTGTTAGTTCTTCGCGTCTTAGCAAGCTTGAGTAAAGGACATTGTCGGCACTGCTCCTCTGGCCAATTTGAGCTGCCTCGGCCCATCACTCAGTAGCCGCCATCCATCGACTTGTACACTCGGGCTTTGGCATGCCACGCGGCTGCAACAGTGGCATTTCCGGGCGAACCTGTACCAAATAAGATGCAAGATCAGGGGCCTGAACAGGCTGCAGCACCGCAGCCCCGTTTTCAGCTTTATTGTACGGTTGCATGACATGTGGAAGCTCGGCCCTGCTAGACACAGCCCACCTGGACTGTCGCACCTGCTGCGGCAGGCAGAGGCACGCCTCGTGACAAAACGGCTTCTGTCCTAATCTCTACCAGCGTGCTGACACGACCTGACACCGAGGACCCCAACAGCGGAAGTAAGCCTTGCGAGTGAGCACTCAGTGCGAGGCTAACTGTTGGGACAGGCATCTCTGTTGACGGCTTGATCGGGTTCATGGGGACCTCCCAGGTCAATGCATGTCAGCTTGCCCCAGTCTCTCGCATGTCATGCCCTGCCTTCGGCGCAATGACGCCCGGGCCCGCAATAACACGAGGTCCCACGACTTTGGGCAGCTTGCTCTCCACTGACCTCATGGCTGCAGCGTACGAAAGCCGTTTTGGAAGTCACAGGACGCGTCGTTCCTTACTTTTCCACCAGAGCCTCACGCGAAAAAAATACTTGCAAGTGTTGCTCTAGGACAGCGGTCTTAGTACCGGAATGCTTGCAGACCTTCTAAGTTCGCAGGATTTCGACTGCATGGACACCCAAGGCCGAGCAACCGTAAGGAACATGCGGCTACCCTCGACGTGCAAAATCACTTCTATTCTAGCAAATTCTAGCAATGCTCTCCAGAGCACACGTGGCAGCTGCCGATGCGCATGAGCGTGCCAGACAAAACCAGGCCAAGACTGCGAACGGTGCACTGAAACTCAGAATCTCACTTTGCTGTGGCCTTGTCAAGGTCTCCTGTGCCAGGGCCAGTTCATCTTAACGTTACCGTTACATCCTACATTACTTCAAAAGCTTAGCGAGCTTGGTCGAACTGACAGCACGGAAATCCATCCTACCGTAGCACGAACCAGCAGCATCCAAGCCTGATGCAGGAGCATTTCCTGTCCTTGACGGGTGGCTTGCTTGTTCTAGTAAGATCTCGCAGTAGGGTGGTGCTGCTGTCTTCATTTTCGAACTGTGCAACAAAGTCCTACGGACACGCCTGCCAAAGTGCATGTTGCGAGATTTCAAGCCACTATGTCTGATCCTCATTTGGCCTATCGGGAACCACTTGCTGGGCGACACCAATCTGAATCTTCTGCCAGGTCTCAAGAATCCCGAGCCCATCGAAGACACTCCTGGCAGCATCAGCACACCAAGGCAGATCCAACCACAGCCACGCTTAATTGCCTAGGCGTGTTCATGTGTTCTGCTTTGCGCTTGCCAGGCATGTCGGCGAGCTCTACACTGCAATTGAAGCGCCGTTCGCCCACTTCAGGTCCACAACCACGACTGCCGTTTTGTAATTAAGCGGCAGAGGCATTGGCACAAGTTATGTCCGGTGTAAAGACTTTAAGCAGGGGCAGCATGCACACACTTATCATATGTCAATCCCAACTACCCAATGCCCAAACACCCTGCATCGAGTCTCTCAAGATCAGCACTGGCAGTGTGATAGCAGCACCCCACTTGAGGTTGCCTTCGTCAGATCTGTCATCGAGCTCCATCCACAAAGTAGCCAATGCGGGAAAAGTTTGGGAGCCTAGTGTGAAGTATGGGTACACGTGCGGGCATCTTGCCGGTTTTGCAAAACCGCATAGCCACATGACATATACCACACTTATACCACACAAGCACATCTTTATCTTGGCACTGCTGTCACAGTGCAACAGGCTGTTGATAGATACTGGTAGAGGCAGAGCTATACTTCGTCACTTCCCCCCCCCCCCACCCCAATTATTCGTGCGACAAAAACATTGTTACAGGTTTGCGCAGCTGTGCCTGCACATGATACACGCAGAGTGAACCAATCACGGGGATGCTCAGCCGCGTATGTAGCCTAATGCAGAGCCTGCGCTTGCAGCAGCAGTGGGAGTCAACTCCTAAGCCGGCCGCAGACAAACCAACCGGTTCAATGTGGCGCCATGCGGCTACTTTGCCGCCAAGTTACGACACCAGAAGTCACCGTGGTACCTGCGCGCGTGCTACCGGTCCGCGCATGCTCCGATGTCTGTGACACACACACACAATGTTCATTCATGGTATTTGTGTAATCTTCTTCAAGTCTTCGTGCTTCTGGTCTGAACACTACATATACACATGTAAATATATATATGTCTATGTATGCATAACTGTGTATGTGTACCAACACATACATACATACATACATTCATTCATTCATGCATAGATATACATATATACACATACATAGATATATGTATGTATGTATGTATGTATGTATGTATGTATACACATACGCACATACACACACATACGTACATACATGCATACATACGCACACACGTACATGCGAACATACATGCACACATACACACACACACACGTACATATACATGCATAACTACAGACATACATACATACATACATACATACATACATACATACGTACGTACATACATTACATTACATTACATTACATTACATTACATTACACTACATTACATTATATTACATTACATTACAGTACATTGCAGTACATTACAGTACATTACAGTACATTACAGTACATTACAGTACATTACAATACAGTACATTACAATACAATACATTACATTACATTACATTACGTTACATTACATTACTAATTACATTACTAATTACATTACTAATTACATGACTAATTACATTACTAATTACATTACTAATTACATTACTAATTACATTACTAATTACATTACTAATCATTACATTACTAATCATTACATTACATTACATTACATTACATTACATTACATTACATTACATTACATTACATGCATACATTCATACAGATATATATTTGTATACACATACATAGACATATGTATATATACATATATGTATATATATATATACATACGCACATACATACGTACATACATACATGCATACATACGCACATACGTACATACATGCACACATACACGCACATACACATACATATATGCATACGTATATACATACATATATACATACATACATAAATACATACAGCCAGACAAACATACATATATGTAGATAAATTTATGTGTACATATGCACGTATTTCCAATATATAGACATATACGTACGAGTGTATGCATGCGTGTGTACATGTACATGTAAACATACCTGTTTATGTAGTATTTCCATGTAAATGCATATGTACATGACTTGCACATGTATGTGTTAATGATTGGCTAAGGTATGTATATGCATGTCTACATATACATACACATTTCATACAGTTATGCATATTCATCTACCCTACATCATTTACTTTCCTTTCTGACGCAGGGGATAGGAGCTCTCCTTGAGCGACGAAGACACCCCAGGGAGGGATGAAAAGACATCTGCATTGGTCTACGCCTGGTCTTCCTCGTGGGCATGGCGGGGCTTTCAGCCTGCATCCTCATTTTCATCTTCATCTCAAGTTGTGCTACATCTTTGCTGGTGTCTGATTTTGCCGGGCAGAAACCGTATAGGCTGAGTATGGGTTGTCTCATCCAGTTTTGTCATTCCTTGTGTTTGGCATACTTAGTCACCAATTTTGGCTACAACCATCACCCACATCATCAAGCCGCCCACGAGTGCACCCATCCAGCAAGTGCGTGCGTCCGTGCGTGCATGCGTGCGTGCGTGCG